CTGTGCCACCCATGCTGTGCCATGCTGTGTCACATCTGCTGTGTCACCCGTGCCATGCTGTGCCATCTGTGTCATGCCGTGTCCCCCGTGCCATGCTGTGTCACCCTGTGTCCCCGTGCCACGCTGTGCCACCCGTGCCACCCCGTGCCCTCACTTGGTCTGGATGTGGAAGCTGTTGGTTGTCCCCGTGTGCTCGAAGTCGTGGATGGCGGCGGCGAAGACGATGGCCAAGAGCTCGATCTCGGAGAGACAGTGCTGGGGACAGAGGGGACACAGGGGACAGAGGGGACAGGGACAGGGACAGAGGGGACAGAGGGGATAGGGACAGGGACAGGGATGGGACAGGGACAGGGACACGGACAGAGGGGACAGATGGGACAGGGACAGGGACAGGGACACGGACAGAGGGGACAGGGACAGGGACAGAGGGGACAGAGGGGACAGAGGGGACAGAGGGGACAGAGGGGACAGAGGGGACAGGGACAGGACAGAGATTGGACCACAAGTCAGGGCCAGGGACAAAGATGGGGACAGGGCCACCCCCGCCGTGAATGTGACACCCCGGGTGTGCCGTGGCCGTAGCGTGGGGACAACAGGCGGCACGTGCACCAGGTGCCACCCCACGTGTGGCAGCCAGCTGGGGCCAGCTGGGCCGGGTGCCATCATGCATGTGACAACTGGGCACAGACACGTCCCAGGTGCCACCCCGTGTGTGTCCAGCTGTCCCCCACGCCCAGGGCCACCCTGGGGACATTCCCATGGCAACGGGCACCTCCAGGTGTGTTGGGGACCAGGCGGGTGGCACGGTGCCACCCTCGGTGACTGTGCCTGGGTCCCTGTGTCCCATGTCCCCATGTCCCAGTGTCACTGTCTCCCCATGTCCCCATGTCCCCCTGTCCCCTGTCCCCTGTCCCGTGTCTGTGTCCCATGTCCTGTGTCCCCTGTCCTGTGTCCCGTGTCCCCTGTCCCCTGTCCCCTCTCCCGTGTCCCCATGCCCCCTATCCCGTGTCCCATGTCCTGTGTCCCCTGTCCTGTGTCCCGCATCCCCTGTCCCCTGTCCCCTCTCCCGTGTCCCCATGCCCCCATGTCCCCTGTCCCGTATCCCCTGTCCCATGTCCCATGTCCCATGTCCCCTTTCCCATGTCCCGTGTCCCCTGTCCCATGTCCCATGTCCGTGTCCGTGTCCATGTCCCCTATCCCATGTCCCGTGTCTGTGTCCTGTGTCCCGTGCCTGTGTCCCATGTCCCGTGTCCCCTGTCCCCTGTCCCATGTCCGTGTCCATGTCCCGTGTCCATGTCTGTGTCCGTGTCCGTGTCCGTGTCCGTGTCCGTATCCGTGTCCGTGTCCATGTCCGTGTCCGTGTCCGTGTCCGTGTCCCTGTCCATGTCTGTGTCCATGTCCCGTGTCCGTGTTCGTGTCCATGTCCGTGTCCGTGTCCATGTCCATGTCCATGTCCATGTCCATGTCCATGTCCATGTCCGTGTCCGTGTCCCGTGTCCCCTGTCCCCTGTCCCATGTCTGTGTCCATGTCCCGTGTCCCCTGTCCCCTGTCCCATGTCCGTGTCCATGTCCGTGTCCATGTCCCATGTCCGTGTCCATGTCCGTGTCCATATCCCGTGTCTGTGTCCGTGTCCATGTCCGTGTCCATGTCCGTGTCCCGTGTCCGCGTCCGTGTCTGTGTCCGTGTCCGTACCAGCATGCCGGTGCGCAGCAGGACGCAGTGCACGGTCTGGGTGACGTCGGCCGCGTGCACCTGGTTGTGGTAGGGGTTCCGGAACTTTCCGTAGCCGCCCTCCAGCGCCTCCAGCAGCGCCGTCAGGAACGCGCCGGGGATCTGCGGCGGGGACAGCGCGGTGACACCGCCGGGGCGTCCCCGAGGGGTCCCCGGGGTGTCCCCGAGGGCCTGGGGAGTCTGGGGGGCCTGGGGTGGAGGTTTGGGGTCCTGGGGTGGAGGTTTGGGGTCCTGGGGTGGAGTTTGGGGGTCCTGGGGTGGAGTTTTGGGGCTGTTTTGGGATTTTGGGGGGTGTTTTGGGGGATTTTGGATGTCAGGTCACACCTTGAAGCAGCTGTTCAGGTTGTGAGGGTGTTTTGAGGGTATTTTGGGGTTATTTTGGGAAGTTTTGGGGTCCTGGGCACACCTTGAAGTGGCTGTTGAGGTTGTGGGAGTATTTTGGGGTTATTTTGGGGTATTCTGGGGTCCTGGGCACACCTTGAGGCAGCTGTTGAGGTTGTGGGAGTATTTTGGGGTTATTTTGGGGGTATTTTGGGAAGTTTTGGGGTCCCAGGCACACCTTGAACCGGCTGTTGAGATTG